AAAAAAGTTTTGAAAACAGATGGCAGGTGTTTTGATAACCCTTTTTTTGGTCAAACTGGAGCGTATGCTTTTACCTTCACAAGTTCGGCAGGAAGGGTGGCATCTTTCACAGACGTTGTTGTCCTTGCTTTCGTAGTAATACTCGGGACAAGAGCTAACACATTTGTTCTTGGAGCGCAACAGGTAGAAATACGTATCACAGAAAAGGCAGTCTGTGGGTAGAGGCCCCATACACTCCTTACAGCCCTTGTGGCATCTCTCACACGATCCAGTGGAATTTTGTGCAAAATACCTGAAACAGATTAGATAGTCATGGCTTTGCGTAAAGCCTAGCAGTGACAGGAAAACCAAACCATTGCTCATCCTTAGCTTTTGCTGTGATTACATCACTGTATAAAAGTGATATGGATGTGATCACAGTAAACATTTGCAATCTCAATGAAAATATAATTAATTCCTATAATTCCCTTTGGCCACTGGAATTCAGCTATAAAGCAAGACTTCGTAAATTGAGGGTGTATAAATCAACGCTTTCTAAAATCTAGGGTGAATTCAGACACAAAGTAAGTATATAAATAGGCAGAGCTCAGAAAACCTCAACTCTGTTTTGGCTCTGCAAGAGATATCCTAGAGAAGTTGGGTAAACATTGCTCATTCCTCACTGCTCCTGATGACCTGCTGTCAGATGGAAATTCAGAAATTTTGTATTTCCTTTCAGTGCACAAACAGGGCTAGCCACAGGATACCAGCAGAGGAACAGTGTTCACCTAAGTTTTGCTGTCAGAGAAAAAGAAGAATAGCGGCACTGTGGTTTTGTTGAGATGTGGTCATTACAGACTTCCAATTTAATGGGATGACAACTGAATTTAACAGTGATAGTTCTGTACTGCAAAATTAAATGGACTTGAACCAGACATCATAGGTCCACTTCCCAAATTCGGATTTCTGACACACATTCACAAGAGCACACTGAATTCGTATTTTGAAATTAAATGGATTCATAGTAATGAAATCGCTGTCAAGAATTACGAGTCCTTAGTTGAAAGGTGTTTTAAGGGTTGTTTTTTTTATGATCCATTATGAATATTCACTCAACGCAAAACAAAAGTAACCTCATCCGAACTTCAGGTTAAGTGGAGGCTGCAAGGGGGCTTGAAGGAATTTGCGCTGCTTCCTGTGCTTGAGCTGACTAACAGATAACTTAGTATCTTTATTCTGCTTCACACTGTTCTGTATAAATATAACTTAAGAGCATCCCTGGAGCACAAGAATGGCCACACCACATCAAGCTGGTCCCAGTTTGGCCACCAACTTTACAGTTTCCTATTGTGAGGAGACATTTTCCACCACCTGGGACAACTGGGACAACAAAAGAATTTTTCACCTGAAAATAGGATTCAGTTCTATTTCATGCTGAGGTAGAATAGGGCAGAGTGATCCAATTTCTCAGAGCTCTCCCTGTGATGTACCCCTTAGCTTGGACCTTACCCTGATGGACACTGGTTTATGCATCCTTTTCCTTGCCTGTACCAGCCCGGTTTGCAGGAAAGGCACTGCGAGCTGTGTTTTCCAGTGCAAGTGGTACAGGCGCTGTGGCATGGGGAACATTGTTGCTCGTTGCTGTCAACATAATACCCATCTGGGCATGTTTCAACACATGTTGTATCTGCACAGACAACAATGCAGAATAACACATCATATTCAGTAGTTGCTGCCATGAAACATCTCATACGGCTGTGCTACGGCAAACTCTCTAACAGGAGATGCTACTATAGAGTGTACCAGAAAAAAGAAAAGAGAATGTTGGGATATGGTAATTATTTTTTTTTTCTTCTAGGTCTTGTCAGTTCATTAGTCCTCATTTCTGCGATTTATGTACATTAGCAGGCTCTTCAGAACAGATAGTTTTTTATCTTTGGGAAATAGAAATGCATAATACATAATAATGAACAGCAGCTGTGATTTCTTTCAGAATACACAAAAGAAGAAATAGTTATTATGAAACTTTCTATCTGCATTGCCATTTTCCTTAGGTTTCACTCTAAGCATGAACCTCATTGCATTCTGTGTATATGACAAATCTGATGGTAAATCTGAGATTTAATGATATTTGTTCAGTGGTCTTTACCCCTGCCTGTGGCTGCTGCTTTACATGCCTCTAATGCTACCAAATACACCAGCTACATCCCACTTTTTCACTGAGATTCCAGAGGGTCCTATTAGAATAGGAATCTTGAATGAGAAGTTAAGACTGATGCAACTAACTGCAAGTGCGTCAAGCTACAAGAGCAGTGATTACTCGTTGGTAGCTTGTACTCATTATCTAGCTTGTCTTTATAGTTCCGCTGCTCGGGTTGCAACTGGGCAAAGAATATACTTCCCCTTATTTCTATTTTTCTTGCAATTGTTTCTCCACTCCAGGATGTTTATTTACACACTTCCATCAACTTTACCCGTTGTAGTGGTGCAAAGCAGCTGAGTATGTTGATAAAAAAGACAGGTCTGATGCAAGACCTCAGAAATTTAAGAATGCAAAATCTGCATCAGAATTAGACTCAAAAAGCTCAGGTTCAGTTTTAATTCAAACTTTCTGTAGATTTTTCCTTCATGAAAGATCATTTAAATCTTCTTTTTCTCCCAATTACTTTCTAAAATTTTTGTTCGCTTTTTAAAGAATATGCAAAGAAGTAAAGCTTAAGTTCTAGGATTTTATACTTTTTACCAGTTTGTGTCTGAGACAAAACAGTCTTTTGCTCCAGAGTCAGAAAAGTAGTTTTGCACCTTAGCCGTCTACTAGATACTGGCCTAATGATCCATGAACAACTTTTTAACAGCTCTGCTTCACTATTTCTTTGCTCATCAGATCTCTGCAGGGATTAAACAAGCCAACATGAAAATGTGTGTACACAAAAAAAAAAAGCTAAGGATATCCCTCTTGCCTTTTCCAGTTCTTTGTAGGAAACAGGAGGAGGAACAGTGCATACCAAATAAATGAAACTTACTTATTTTTTTTAGCCACAGAGTTTGTTGCTACTTGGAAGTCCTGCTTTGGCTCCAGTGGGTGGCAAACCCAGTCTCACAAACAGTTTCCAGGTAGCCCTGCAGAAGTAATTATCTCTGCACGAGTTATCTACTTGTCAGGTCAACTTTGCAATATTTGGATTGGCTGAAGCAGCCCCAGATGCTTCATAAATGTGACAGAAACTTGCCTGTTCCATGCTTTCAGTGTAGAATAAAATCTAGAGGCAGGAGCAAGACACTTACTGAGAAGATAGCGGTTATTCACACAGCTGAGACACTGGTGTTCAGTGGGTCCTGAGCAATGGAAGCATGCCTTATGACAAAGGTGGCAGGTCTGAGTTTTCTCAACGTAGTACTCAGTGTGAGAGCAGTATCCAGATGCCACACAGTGCCCATCATCGTTCAGCATCAGGCCATTTCTGCAAGTGAGGCAGGCAGTGGAAGAAGAACAACTCTGGCATGTCCTATTGCATGCTGAAATGGACAAACAGTAGGAATGTCAGTATTTCTTGCTGCATTTCAGGTTATTATTTCAGCTTTAATCTTGCAAGGAGCAGCCATCATCTCAGGATACGAGGCTGAGAGAAGCAGAGCAATAGCTCTACTTCTGCATAGTCAAAGATTTTACTATTTTGCTGCTTGTGCAGCCAGTTCCGTAGGACTCCCTTTTGCACTGGCACTGCTTTTGCTGAGCAGCGGTTTTTCAACACACTGTCTCCAGCGTACCGCACTCAGCACTTTACCAGAGTGGTCGCCTATTATATTAAACACATCTCGCTTTGCTACCTCCCTCTCACCTTTTTCCAGTTTTTGCTGTTCTAAGATATGCCTTGTAATTTTTCTGCATTACCTATCTTCTCTGTTTCCTGATAGTGCCATTAGCTGGCACACTTGAGCCCTTTTGGGATAGTCTTTAATCACACCCACTTGTATCTCAATACAGTTCCTGGGTAAAACAACAGCTGCCAACCTTGACAGTCTTCAGTGGCTGCTTCATAGTAAGTCCCTTCAGGGCACTCTTCAAAACAGGTGCCACTGTAGAGGACAAAGTCGTCGATGGCACACTCAGTGCAGTCGTCTGAGTCCGGCCCGTCACAGTCCTTGCAGTCTACGTGGCAGGGAAAGCAGTGCTTGTCTTCAGCATAGAAGTGAGAAGGGCAGTCCTGCACGCACTTCCCCTCGTGCAGGAAGAACTCATCCATGCACTCTACAGAGAACAGCAAACAACAGATAAGCAAACGGGCAGCAAATTCTGACCCCTGTAAGTGAGGCAGTGAAGAAATCCTAGGAAACTGTAAATCCTACAGTGCATAACAGGAGGCAAGAGGACAGCTTGGGAAGGTAGTGCGTTTCTTTTTTGACTCTTTCCCCTCCAAACTACCCATAATGTCCCAACAGCATCTTCTGTATTACATCAAGAGACTGAGAAGCCAAGTCACCTGGTCAGCTTTGCTGATATTAACCAAATCATGTTGCCACTGAATATAGGTGGACTTCTCCTGAGATATTACACCTGCATTATGAACTTCCTGCAAAATCAAGGTTGTCCACATCTGAAGTTTTCTTTGGTTTATTATCAAAATATGAGTCTGGCTGGAATATATGGACCTGAATGTTTGTCTTTGGATAGAACTGGGATTCAGCTGCTAGTTTTATTATGAGTGCCTGGTTTAATAGCTTTGTTCATGATTTTTTTTTTGTTCCATCCATGTTTATGTTTCCAGAACGGCTTGCTCAATATTAACTATCCTGGAAATTTTTGGGGGGGCATTCAGACTGACCAGGATAACCAAGGCTTTCAACCAAACTAGGAAAGAAATATTCTGTATTTCGCATCTATGTAAATGTGTATGCAAGTGTTTAGGCATGGATACAAGGTCAGAAATAGAATCAAACCAGTAGGAATCTCCAAAGGACAACAGGAACAGGCAAAGCAATGTGAAATCTTTACAGATTAATGGTTTAGACTAAGTCTTATCACAAAGCACTGATTGTTTAACCTCTATCTTAGAGGTTAGCAATGATATATACATTCCTTTTTTATTTTTGACCATTACAGAATTCCTTTCCATCTGTGTGTTTCTGTCAGTCTGTCTCTAGACAGATCCAGATGGATTTTAGCCAAGTCAAGACCATATCTTTATAATACCTTTGCATGTTTGATTGTGAATGCATTCCTGACACATTTCAGGGCAGTGTTTGCAGATTCCTTCAGAGGCAAAATGCTTCTCTGAACAGGTAGCTTTACATTCCCAGTGCTCGAGAAGCAAAGGACTTTGACAGGACAGGCATTTGATTGCACTTCCTATGCATGTCTTACAGGGTCCACTGCATTCCTTGCAAGTCTCAGAATCATTAAAATATCCCCTGTTGAATGAAAGCAAACACAAAGCAAACTTCTGGTCAGTGTGTTGATATCAAACAGTCCAGGCATTATGAGTATATATGAGACTTTCCCAGCACACTCATTTCACTGGTTCAAACAAGTTTCTCACACAATTTATTGCCCATCCTCCATTTACATCCCCTCTGTCTGCAAGCAGAAAACATGCATGGTTACTGCTGTGATGGGAGTCTGGCCTTCCTTTGTTCTTGTACCTACTCTAAGGGACGTTGGACCTCTTGCTCCTTTCTTGATTGCCCACTTACATAAGACAGGAAAATCTATAATGTTTGGGAAAAGAAAGATGCAATCGCTAGTCTTGCACAGCTGACCATAAACAGTGATATCAGGGAAAGACAGAATGATCCTAGAGGAGAGAAAGAGAAGAGAAAACCCTGGAAGTGTGAAGGCTGGGAAGAATAAGAAGGGCTGGGGTTAAAAAAACCCGACAAAACCAGGATCCTTAAGTATTACCTGCATTTAGTGACAGCAAGCTAGAGACAGTGAAGAGGAAGCACATGGTATCTGTGGTGTGAGACCAACTGTAGACAACCACTGTTGGGACTATATTTCTGGAGAAGAGGGAGATAAGGAGTGGCTGGATGCAATCCAATCTGCCTACACTTTCAAAACCAAAATGTTAGAAGGTTAAAGGACAAGCAAATCCACATTCTGAGGTGATTGCTAATCCATATGTATACAGCCATTGAAGAAAAATAAGGAAGAAGTTGCCATAGAAAATAGTCATAGAAACATAGAATCATTTAGGTTGGAATAGACTTTTAAGACCATTAAGTCCAACTGTTAGCCTAACACTTCCATTCTGTACTTCATATTAACAAGCTCATTCTTCCCTGTAGAGGGGTGCTTCTCCTTTCCTTCTTGGAGATGATCTTCCCAAAGAAAGGCTGAGGAGATGCGTTAGGAGCAAGGTTAGAGAAAAGTTAAGAGCTGTGCCTGAAATCTATTCTCATTATCTTTTTGTCTCCTAACCTTTGTCATGATCCTGCATCTGTTTCTCACAGTCTGGTCTTCTTCTCTTGTTCCAGTGTTGAGTACTCTGCTAGCCCCATCTTTCAAAATCCTTTGTCAGAAATTATCAGTGCAGCAACTCAACCCTTTCTATCCCCTACAGCATGTCCCAAAACTCAAAAAACCCCTAAACAAAGCCCTTCATGTAATCCTCTGCTCCAGTGGAGAGTAGTTATGCCTCAAGATCTTTGCCATAGAGGCTGAAACCAGAGTTTAACTCTGGTGGACTTTGCTGAATGATGTCTGGGAAGCCATTATTTATAGTCTGGAATTTGGAAAAAAGAGGGATAATAACAGCTGAAAAGACTAGTGATATATAAAAAGGTTTAATTTTGTTATACTGACCCTTGTGTGGGACAACTGGAGCATGAGTGCTGAGAACAAACATATTAATGCCAAAACATTATCTTTGCTTGTATGCCACAGTTTCTGATATTAAAAGTTGTTTCTGGACTAGAGTAATCTTTAGTGCAATTACTTTGTATTTACTGTGACATTTGATGATACGAACCTGTTCCTCTGGCCCTTACTGACTTATTTGACAAAGCTAGCAGGAGAGTACTGCCGGGGAATTTGTACTGATCATAAGAAAAGCAGGAGCTGCAGAGTTTTCTAAAGGAAAAGGTTAACCAAGCAAGATCTTCATACTGCATAACACAGATTTTATGTGTATATATGGGTATGATGAATGCTGATGAAAAAATTACAGGAACAGGAGAATCTGATCTACTCAAGTGACTGATCTAGTATCCATCACAGTCAAATTGGAAGCTTTCTTTTCAAACTCCATTTATTACAGGAAAAAGAAAAGAATATAAGCCAAAGAGAAACACATCAATAAGCACTATATTTTCCTATCAGGACTCTGACACATCCACTTTCTGGGTTCACACCCCTGCTGTGTACTACTTTGAGGAAGGGGTAAGTCAGGAGAATGACTAAAGGCTTATTTTCAGTCGCCATAAAGAACCATCCTGAAGTACTATGGTCCTATTGAAGCCAATGGGAGCTTCACCATCTGCCAGAGGGTTTCACGTCTAGTTTCACTTTTGATTTTTCACTTTTTCTCTAAGCAAGATAAAATGCTGTTTATTCAGGCCAGCTGAAAATGACTTTTACTTTTACTATCTATCTTTTACTTTACTTTACTACTTTGTGGTAGTTTCTGGTTGCTTAGGTTACATTAAGGTCTCCCTAAAAAGGTTTGTAATGGATCTGAACTTTAAAGAGAAGGAGCACAGTGAGAAAACATGGAGCAGTCATCCAACAGGAGTTACTTACTCAGGGCATCCCTGCA